CTACCTGGGGCAGCTTTGTCTGTGTGTGTAACAGCACTTGCCCCTACAGCCCTGCTAGAGGCTACCTGGGGGAGCTTTGTTTGTGTATGTGTAACAGCACTTGCCCCTACAGCCCTGCTAGAGGCTACCTGGGGGACCTTTGTCTGTGTGCGTGTGTAGCTGCTGGATTTTGAACCACGGGCAGCTGAGCAGGTACCACTGCTGATGAAGCTGAACAGGGTGGACCTGGCCATGATGAGAGCCATACAGAGCGGAGACTCGGATCTGGGTGAGCGTCACTCACACAGTCACTCACTCAGTCGCTCAGTCAGTCGCTCACTCACTCACTCAGTCACTCACTCAGCCACTCACTCACTCACGCAGCCACTCACTCACTCACTCAGTCGCTTGCTCAGTCACTCACCCACTCGCTCACTCAGTCGCTCACTCACTCACTCAGTCGCTCAGTCACTCACACACTCACTCACCTACTCACTCACCAACTCACTCAGTCGCTCAGTCACTCACTCACTCGCTCAGTCGCTCACCCACTCAGTCACTCACTCGCTCACTCAGTCACTCAGTCACTCAGTCACTCACTCGCTCACTCACTCGCTCACTCAGTCACTCAGTTACTCACTCGCTCACTCACTCACTCAGTCGCTCATCCACTCACCCACCCACTCACCCACTCACCCACTCACTCACTCACTCGCTCAGTCGCTCACTCACTCAGTCGCTCACCAACTCAGTCACTCACTCACTCACTCACTCAGTCACTCAGTCACTCACTCGCTCACTCACTCAGTCGCTCACCCACTCACTCACCCACTCACTCAGTCGCTCACTCACTCACTCACTCAGTCGCTCACCCACTCACTCACCCACTCACTCAGTCGCTCACTCACTCACTCGCTCACTCACCCACTCACTCGCTCACCCAATCACTCACCCACTCACTAACTCACCCACTCACTCACCCACTCACTCACTCACTCGCTCACCCAATCACTCACCCACTCACTAACTCACCCACTCACCCACTCACTCACTCGCTCACTCGCTCGCTCACTCAGTCGCTCACTCACTCACCCACTCACCCGCCCACTCACTCGCTCACTCACTCACCCACTCACTCACTCACCCACTCATCCACTCACTCACCCACTCACTCACTCACCCACCCACCCACTCACTCACTCACTCACCCACTCACTCACTCACCCACTCACCCACTCACTCACCCACTCACTCACTCACCCACTCACCCGCTCACTCACTCACCCACTCACTCACCCACTGACTCACCCACCCAACCACTCACCTACTCACCCACTCACTCACCCACCCATCCACCCACTCACTCACCCACCCACCCACTCACCTACTCACCCACTCACTCACCCACCCATCCACCCACTCACTCACCCACTCACTCACTCACCCACCTACCCACTCACCTACTCACCCACTCACTCACCCACCCATCCACCCACTCACTCACCCACCCACCCACTCACCTACTCACCCACTCACTCACCCACCCATCCACCCACTCACTCACCCACTCACTCACTCACCCACCTACCCACTCACCTACTCACCCACTCACTCACCCACCCATCCACCCACTCACTCACCCACTCACTCACCCACCCACCCACCCACTCACCTACTCACCCACTCACTCACCCACCCATCCACCCACTCACTCACCCACTCACTCACCCACTCACTCACTCACCCACCCACCCACCTACTCACTCACTCACCCACTCACCCACCCACTCACCCGCTCACTCACTCACCCACTCACTCACCTACTCACCCACCCACTCACCCACCCACTCACTCACTCACCCACTCACCCACCCACCCACTCACTCACCCACCCACCCACTTACTCACCCACTCACTCACCCACCCACTCACCCACCCACTCACCCACTCACTCACCCACCCACCCACTCACCCACCCACTCACCCACCCACTCACCTACTCATCCACTCACTCACCCACCCACCCACTCACCTACTCACTCACATCTCAAGGAGTCTGTGACTCTTGTTGTTGTTGTGGTTGTTGTTGATGTTGTGGTTGTGGTTGTTGTTGTGGTTGTTGTTGTGGTTGGTGTTGTTGTTGTGGTTGTTGTTGTGGTTGTTGTTGTGGTTGTTGTTGTTGTTGTGGTTGTTGTAGTGGTTGTTGTGGTTGTTGATGTTGTTGTAGTCTACATGGTGATCTCACATCTCAAGGAGTCTGTGACTCTTGTTGTTGTGGTTGTTGTTGTTGTAGTTGTGGTTGTTGTTGTGGTTGTTGTTGTTGTTGTGGTTGTTGTTGTTGTGGTTGTTGTTGTTGATGTTGTTGTAGTCTACATGGTGATCTCACATCTGAAGGAGTCTGTGACTCTTGTTGTTGTGGTTGTTGTTGTTGTAGTTGTGGTTGTTGTTGTGGTTGTTGTTGTTGTTGTGGTTGTTGTTGTGGTTGTTGTTGTTGTTGTTGTGGTTGTTGTTGTTGTGGTTGTTGTTGTGGTTGTTGTTGTGGTTGTTGTTGTAGTCTACATGGTGATCTCACATCTCAAGGAGTCTGTGACTCTTGTTGTTGTTGTGGTTGTTGTGATTGTTGTTGTTGTGGTTGTTGTTGTGGTGGTTGTGGTTGTTGTGGTTGTTGTGGTTGTTGTTGTTGTTGTGGTTGTTGTTGTTGTAGTCTACATGGTGATCTCACATCTCAAGGAGTCTGTGACTCTTGTTGTTGTTGTTGTGGTTGTTGTTGTGGTTGTTGTGGTTGTTGTTGTTGTAGTCTACATGGTGATCTCACATCTCAAGGAGTCTGTGACTCTTGTTGTTGTTGTGGTTGTTGATGTTGTTGTTGTTGTTGTGGTTGTTGTTGTTGTGATTGTTGTTGTAGTCTACATGGTGATCTCACATCTCAAGGAGTCTGAGACTCTTGTTGTTGTTGTGGTTGTTGTGGTTGTTGTGGTTGTTGTGGTGGTTGTTGATGATGTTGTTGTTGTTGTGGTTGTTGTTGATGTTGTTGTGGTTGTTGTTGTAGTCTACATGGTGATCTCACATCTCAAGGAGTCTGTGACTCTTGTTGTTGTTGTGGTGGTTGTGGTTGTTGTGGTTGTTGTTGTTGTAGTCTACATGGTGATCTCACATCTCAAGGAGTCTGTGACTCTTGTTGTTGTGGTTGTGGTTGATGTTGTTGTTGTGGTTGTTGTTGTGGTTGTTGTTGTAGTCTACATGGTGATCTCACATCTCAAGGAGTCTGTGACTCGTTGTTGTGGTTGTTGTTGTGGTTGTTGTTGATGTTGTTGATGGTTGATGTTGTGGTGGTTGTTGTTGTTGTTGTGGTTGTTGTTGATGTTGTTGTTGATGTTGTTGTAGTCTACATGGTGATCTCACATCTCAAGGAGTCTGTGACTCTTGTTGTTGTTGATGTTGTTGTTGTTGATGTTGTTGTTGTTGTGGTTGTTGTTGTAGTCTACATGGTGATCTCACATCTCAAGGAGTCTGTGACTCTTGTTGTTGTTGTGGTTGTTGTTGTTGTTTTGTTGTGGTTGTTGTTGTGGTTGTTGTGGTTGTTGTGGTTGTTGTTGTTGTGGTTGTTGTTGTGGTTGTTGTGGTTGTTGTTGTTGTGGTTGTTGTTGTAGTCTACATGGTGATCTCACATCTCAAGGAGTCTGTGACTCTTGTTGTTGTTGTGGTTGTTGATGTTGTTGTTGTTGTTGTGGTTGTTGTTGTTGTTGTGATTGTTGTTGTTGTTGTAGTCTACATGGTGATCTCACATCTCAAGGAGTCTGTGACTCTTGTTGTTGTTGTTGTGGTTGTTGTTGATGTTGTTGTTGTGGTTGTTGTTGTGATTGTTGTTGTTGTAGTCTACATGGTGATCTCACATCTCAAGGAGTCTGTGACTCTTGTTGTTGTTGTGGTTGTTGATGTTGTTGTTGTTGTTGTTGATGTTGTTGTGGTTGTTGTTGTTGATGTTGTTGTGGTTGTTGTTGTTGATGTTGTTGTTGATGTTGTTGTAGTCTACATGGTGATCTCACATCTCAAGGAGTCTGTGACTCTTGTTGTTGTTGTTGTGGTTGATGTTGTTTTTGTTGATGTTGTTGTTGTGGTTGTTGTTGTTAATGTTGTTGATGTTGTTGATGTTGTTGTAGTCTACATGGTGATCTCACATCTCAAGGAGTCTGTGACTCTTGTTGTGGTTGTTGTGGTGGTTGTGGTTGTTGTTGTTGTGGTTGTGGTTGTTGTTGTTGTGGTTGTTGTTGTGGTTGTTGTTGTGGTTGTTGTTGTAGTCTACATGGTGATCTCACATCTCAAGGAGTCTGTGACTCTTGTTGTTGTTGATGTTGTTGTTGATGCTGTTGTTGTTGTTGTGGTTGTTGTTGTTGTTGTAGTCTACATGGTGATCTCACATCTCAAGGAGTCTGTGACTCTTGTTGTTGTGGTTGTTGTTGTAATCTACATGGTGATCTCACATCTCAAGGAGTCAGACTCTTGTTGTGGTTGTTGTTGTTGTGGTTGTTGTGATTGTTGTTGTTGTGGTTGTTGTTGATGTTGTTGTAGTCTACATGGTGATCTCACATCTCAAGGAGTCTGTGACTCGTTGTTGTGGTTGTTGTTGTGGTTGTTGTGATTGTTGTTGATGTTGTTGTTGATGTTGTTGTAGTCTACATGGTGATCTCACATCTCAAGGAGTCTGTGACTCGTTGTTGTGGTTGTTGTTGTTGTTGTGGTTGTTGTTGTTGTGATTGTTGATGTTGTTGTTGTAGTCTACATGGTGATCTCACATCTCAAGGAGTCTGTGACTCTTGTTGTTGTTGTGCTTGTTGTTGTTGTGGTTGTTGTTGTTAATGTTGTTGATGTTGTTGTGGTTGTTGTTGTTGTAGTCTACATGGTGATCTCACATCTCAAGGAGTCTGTGACTCTTGTTGTTGTTGTTGTTGTTGTGGTTGTTGTGATTGTTGTTGATGATGTTGTTGTTGTTGTAGTCTACATGGTGATCTCACATCTCAAGGAGTCTGTGACTCGTCTTGTTGTTGTTGTTGTTGTGGTTGTTGTGATTGTTGTTGATGTTGTTGTTGTAGTCTACATGGTGATCTCACATCTCAAGGAGTCTGTGACTCTTGTTGTTGTTGTGGTTGTTGTTGTTGATGTTGATGTTGTTGTTGTTGTTGATGTTGTTGTTGTTGTTGTAGTCTACATGGTGATCTCACATCTCAAGGAGTCTGTGACTCTTGTTGTTGTTGTGGTTGTTGTTGTTGTTGTTGATGTTGTTGTGGTTGTTGTTGTTGATGTTGTTGTGGTTGTTGTTGTAGTCTACATGGTGATCTCACATCTCAAGGAGTCTGTGACTCTTGTTGTTGTTGTTGTTGTGGTTGTGGTTGTTGTTGTGGTTGTTGTGATTGTTGTTGATGATGTTGTTGTTGTTGTAGTCTACATGGTGATCTCACATCTCAAGGAGTCTGTGACTCGTCTTGTTGTTGTTGTTGTGGTTGTGGTTGTTGTTGTTGATGTTGTTGTTGTGGTTGTTGTTGTAGTCTACATGGTGATCTCACATCTCAAGGAGTCTGTGACTCTTGTTGTTGTTGTTGTGGTTGTGGTTGTTATTGTGGTTGTTGTGATTGTTGTTGATGATGTTGTTGTTGTTGTAGTTTACATGGTGATCTCACATCTCAAGGAGTCTGTGACTCGTCTTGTTGTTGTTGTTGTGGTTGTGGTTGTTGTTGTTGTTGTTGATGTTGTTGTTGTGGTTGTTGTTGTTGTTGTTGTAGTCTACATGGTGATCTCACATCTCAAGGAGTCTGTGACTCTTGTTGTTGTTGTTGTTGTGGTTGTTGTGATTGTTGTGGTTGTTGTTGTTGTTGATGTTGTTGTGGTTGTTGTGGTTGTTGTGGTTGTTGTTGATGTTGTTGTTGTTGTGGTTGTTGTTGTTGTAGTCTACATGGTGATCTCACATCTCAAGGAGTCTGTGACTCTTGTTGTTGTTGTTGTTGATGTTGTTGTTGTTGTAGTTGTTGTTGTGGTTGTTGTTGTAGTCTACATGGTGATCTCACATCTCAAGGAGTCTGTGACTCTTGTTGTTGTTGTTGTTGATGTTGTTGTGGTTGTTGTTGTAGTCTACATGGTGATCTCACATCTCAAGGAGTCTGTGACTCTTGTTGTGGTTGTTGTGATTGTTGTTGATGATGTTGTTGTTGTTGTAGTCTACATGGTGATCTCACATCTCAAGGAGTCTGTGACTCTTGTTGTTGTGGTTGTTGTTGTTGTGGTTGTTGTTGATGTTGTGGTTGTTGTTGTAGTCTACATGGTGATCTCACATCTCAAGGAGACTGTGACTCTTGTTGTTGTGGTTGTTGTTGTTGTGGTTGTTGTTGATGTTGTGGTTGTTGTTGTAGTCTACATGGTGATCTCACATCTCAAGGAGTCTGTGGCTCTTGTTGTTGTTGATGTTGTGGTTGTTGTTGTGGTTGTTGTGATTGTTGTGATTGTTGTTGTTGTTGTAGTCTACATGGTGATCTCACATCTCAAGGAGTCTGTGGCTCTTGTTGTTGTTGATGTTGTGGTTGTTGTTGTGGTTGTTGTGATTGTTGTGATTGTTGTTGTTGTAGTCTACATGGTGATCTCACATCTCAAGGAGTCTGTGACTCTTGTTGTTGTTGTTGTGGTTGTTGTTGATGTTGTTGTGGTTGTTGTTGTAGTCTACATGGTGATCTCACATCTCAAGGAGTCTGTGACTCGTCTTGTTGTTGTTGTTGTTGTGGATGTTGTTGTTGTTGATGTTGATGTTGTTGTTGTTGATGTTGTTGTTGTTGTGGTTGTTGTGGTTGTTGTTGTAGTCTACATGGTGATCTCACATCTCAAGGAGTCTGTGACTCTTGTTGTTGTTGTGGTGGTTGTGGTTGTTGTTGTTGTTGATGTTGATGTTGTTGATGTTGTTGTGGTTGTTGTTGTAGTTTACATGGTGATCTCACATCTCAAGGAGTCTGTGACTCTTGTTGTTGTTGTTGTTGTGGTTGTTGTTGTTGTTGTAGTTGTTGTGGTTGTTGTTGTTGATGTTGTTGTTGTGATTGTTGTTGATGTTGTTGTAGTCTACATGGTGATCTCACATCTCAAGGAGTCTGTGACTCTTGTTGTTGTGGTTGTTGTTGTTGTGGTTGTTGTTGATGTTGTGGTTGTTGTTGTAGTCTACATGGTGATCTCACATCTCAAGGAGACTGTGACTCTTGTTGTTGTGGTTGTTGTTGTTGTGGTTGTTGTTGATGTTGTGGTTGTTGTTGTAGTCTACATGGTGATCTCACATCTCAAGGAGTCTGTGGCTCTTGTTGTTGTTGATGTTGTGGTTGTTGTTGTGGTTGTTGTGATTGTTGTGATTGTTGTTGTTGTTGTAGTCTACATGGTGATCTCACATCTCAAGGAGTCTGTGGCTCTTGTTGTTGTTGATGTTGTGGTTGTTGTTGTGGTTGTTGTGATTGTTGTGATTGTTGTTGTTGTAGTCTACATGGTGATCTCACATCTCAAGGAGTCTGTGACTCTTGTTGTTGTTGTTGTTGTGGTTGTTGTTGATGTTGTTGTGGTTGTTGTTGTAGTCTACATGGTGATCTCACATCTCAAGGAGTCTGTGACTCGTCTTGTTGTTGTTGTTGTTGTGGATGTTGTTGTTGTTGATGTTGATGTTGTTGTTGTTGATGTTGTTGTTGTTGTGGTTGTTGTGGTTGTTGTTGTAGTCTACATGGTGATCTCACATCTCAAGGAGTCTGTGACTCTTGTTGTTGTTGTGGTGGTTGTGGTTGTTGTTGTTGTTGATGTTGATGTTGTTGATGTTGTTGTGGTTGTTGTTGTAGTTTACATGGTGATCTCACATCTCAAGGAGTCTGTGACTCTTGTTGTTGTTGTTGTTGTGGTTGTTGTTGTTGTTGTTGTAGTTGTTGTGGTTGTTGTTGTTGATGTTGTTGTTGTGATTGTTGTTGATGTTGTTGTAGTCTACATGGTGATCTCACATCTCAAGGAGTCTGTGACTCTTGTTGTTGTTGTTGTTGTGGTTGTTGTTGTTGTTGATGTTGTTGATGTTGTTGTGGTTGTTGTTGTGGTTGTTGTTGTGGTTGTTGTTGTAGTCTACATGGTGATCTCACATCTCAAGGAGTCTGTGACTCGTCTTGTTGTTGTTGTGGTTGTTGTTGTTGTGGTTGTTGTTGTTGTTGATGTTGTTGTTGTTGTTGTGGTTGTTGTTGTTGTGGTTGTGATTGTTGTTGTTGTTGTAGTCTACATGGTGATCTCACATCTCAAGGAGTCTGTGACTCTTGTTGTTGTTGTTGTGGTTGATGTTGTTGTTGTTGTTGTTGTTGTTGTGATTGTTGTTGTTGTTGTGGTTGATGTTGTTGTTGTGGTTGTGATTGTTGTTGTTGTTGTAGTCTACATGGTGATCTCACATCTCAAGGAGTCTGTGGCTCTTGTTGTTGTTGATGTTGTGGTTGTTGTTGTGGTTGTTGTGATTGTTGTTGTTGTGGTTGTTGTTGTGGTTGTTGTGATTGTTGTTGATGTTGTTGTGGTTGTTGTTGTAGTCTACATGGTGATCTCACATCTCAAGGAGTCTGTGACTCGTCTTGTTGTTGTTGTGGTTGTGATTGTTGTGGTTGTTGATGTTGTTGTGGTTGTTGTTGTTGTTGTTGTAGTCTACATGGTGATCTCACATCTCAAGGAGTCTGTGACTCTTGTTGTTGTTGTTGTTGTGGTTGTTGTTGTTGATGTTGATGTTGTTGTTGTTGTTGTTGTAGTCTACATGGTGATCTCACATCTCAAGGAGTCTGTGACTCTTGTTGTGGTTGTTGTTGTTGGTGTTGTTGTTGTTGTTGTGGTTGTTGTTGTGGTTGTTGTTGTTGTTGTGGTTGTTGTTGATGTTGTTGTTGTTGTTGTTGTGGTTGTTGTTGTAGTCTACATGGTGATCTCACATCTCAAGGAGTCTGTGACTCTTGTTGTTGATGTTGTTGTTGTTGTGATAGTTGTTGATGTGGTTGTTGTTGTTGTGATAGTTGTTGATGTTGTTGTGGTTGTTGTTGTTGTTGTTGTTGTGGTTGTTGTTGTTGTAGTCTACATGGTGATCTCACATCTCAAGGAGTCTGTGACTCTTATTGTTGTTGATGTGGTTGTTGTTGTGGTTGTTGTTGTGGTTGTTGTTGATGTTGTAGTCTACATGGTGATCTCACATCTCAAGGAGTCTGTGACTCTTGTTGTTGTGGTTGTTGTGATTGTTGTTGTTGATGTTGTTGTTGTTGTAGTCTACATGGTGATCTCACATCTCAAGGAGTCTGTGACTCTTGTTGTTGTTGTTGTGGTTGCTGTTGTTGTGGTTGTTGTTGTTGTTGTTGTTGTGGTTGTTGTTGTAGTCTACATGGTGATCTCACATCTCAAGGAGTCTGTGACTCGTCGTGAATTCTTCCTGACGCTGAGGCAGCACCCAACAGCTCACTCCTTGTACCTGAAGGTACACACACATCATCATCATCACTATCATCATCATCACTATCATCATCATCATCATCACTATCATCATCACTATCATCCTCACTAATATCATCATCACCATCATCATCTTCATCTTCACTATCACTATCATCATCACCATCATCATCACTATCATAATCATCACTATCATCATCACCATCATCATCATCACTACTACTACCATCATCGTCATCACTACCATCATCATCACTATCATCATCACTATCACTACCACCATCATCATCATCATCACTATCATCATCACCATCATCACCATCTACCACTACTACTACCATCACTACCATCATCACTATCACTACCACCACCATCATCACTATCAACATCATCTTCACTATCATCATCATCATCATCACCATCATCATCACCACTGTCATCATCATCACTATCATCATCACTACTACCATCATCATCTTCACCATCATCACTACTACCATCATCATCACTACTACCATCATCATCACTACTACAATCATCATCACTATCATCATCACCATCATCATCACTACCATCATCACTATCATCATCACCATCATCATCATCACTATCATCATCATCTTCACTATCACTATCATCATCACTATCATCATCATCACTATCATCATCATCATTATCACTATCTTCACTACTATTATCATCATCATCATCATCTTCACTATCACTATCATCATCACTATCATAATCATCACTATCGTCATCACCATCATCATCATCACTACTACTACCATCATCGTCATCACTATCATCATCACTATCACTACCACCATCACTACCATCACTACCATCACTACCATCACCACCACCATCACCACCATCACCACCATCACTACCATCACCACCATCACCACCATCACTACAATCACCATCACCACCACCATCACCACCACCATCACCACCACCATCACCACCACCATCACCACCACCATCACCACCATCACCACCATCACTACAATCACCATCACCACCATCACCACCATCACCACCATCACTACCATCACCACCATCACTACCATCACCACCATCACCACCATCACTACAATCACCACCACCACCATCACCACCACCACCATCACCACCACCACCATCACCACCACCACCATCACCACCACCATCACCATCATCACCACCATCACCACCATCACCACCACCACCATCACTACCATCACCACCATCACTACAATCACCACCACCATCACCACCACCATCACCACCACCATCACCACCACCACCACCATCACCACCACTATCACCACCACCATCACCACCACCATCACCACCACCATCACCACCATCACCACCACCACCATCACCACCACCATCACCACCACCATCACCACCACCACCATCACCATCACCACCATCACCACCACCACCACCATCACCACCACCATCACCACCACCACCACCATCACCACTACAATCACCATCACCACCACCATCACCACCACCATCACCACCACCATCACCACCACCATCACCACCACCATCACCACCATCACTACCATCACCACCATCACCACCATCACTACAATCACCACCACCACCATCACCACCACCACCATCACCACCACCACCATCACCACCACCATCACCATCATCACCACCATCACCACCATCACCACCATCACCACCACCACCATCACCACCACCATCACTACCATCACCACCATCACCACCATCACTACAATCACCATCACCACCACCACCATCACCACCATCACCACCACCATCACCACCACCACCATCACCACCACCATCACCACCATCACCACCACCATCACCACCACCATCACCACCATCACCACCATCACTACAATCACCATCACCACCATCACCACCATCACCACCATCACTACCATCACCACCATCACTACCATCACCACCACCATCATCACCACCATCACCACCATCACCACCATCACTACAATCACCACCACCATCACTACCATCACCACCATCACCACCATCACTACAATCACCATCACCACCACCACCATCACCACCACCATCACCACCACCATCACCACCACCATCACCACCACCATCACCACCATCACCACCATCACTACAATCACCACCACCACCATCACCACCACCACCATCACCACCACCATCACCATCATCACCACCATCACCACCATCACCACCATCACTACAATCACCATCACCACCACCACCATCACCACCACCATCACCACCACCATCACCACCACCACCATCACCACCACCATCACCACCACCATCACCACCATCACCACCACCATCACCACCATCACCACCACCACCATCACCACCACTATCACCACCACCATCACCACCACCATCACCACCACCATCACCACCACCACCATCACCACCACCATCACCACCACCACCATCACCACCATCACCACCATCACCACCATCACCACCACCATCACCACCACCATCACTACCATCACCACCTTCACTACAATCACCATCACCACCATCACCACCACCATCACCACCACCACCACCATCACCACCACCACCATCACCACCATCACCACCACCACTAGTGCTGCAGGCAGCTGTAGCTGGAGACGCTGAAAAACGATTGTGGTGGTTGTTGTGGTGATGATTGTGATGATTGTTGTGGTGATTGTGATTATTGTGGTTATGATTGTGATGATTGTTGTGGTTATTGTTATGATTGTGGTGGTGGTTGTGATGATTGTGGTGGTGATCGTGATGATTGTGGTGATGATTGTGATGATTGTTCAAGTGATTGTGATGATTGTGGTGATGGTTGTGATGATTGTGGTGGTGATTGTGATGTTTGTGGTGGTGATTGTGATGATTGTGGTGGTGACTGTGATGTTTGTGGTGGTGATCGTGATGATTGTGATGATTGTGATTATTGTGGTGGTGATTGTGATGTTTGTGGTGGTGATCGTGATGATTGTGATGATTGTGATTATTGTGGTGGTGATTGTGATGTTTGTGGTGGTGATCGTGATGTTTGTGATGATTGTGATTATTGTGGTGGTGATTGTGATGTTTGTGGTGGTGATTGTGATGATTGTGGTGGTGATTGTAGTGGTGATTGTGATGATTGTGGTGGTGATTGTGATGGCTATTGTGATGATTGTGAAGATTGTGGTTGTGGTTGTGATGATTGTTGTAGTGATTGTGATGATTGTGGTGGTGATTGTGATGATTGTGGTGGTGATTGGGATGATTGTGGTGGTGATCGTGATGATTGTGGTGGTGATTGTGATGATTGTGGTGGTGATCGGGATTATTGTGGTGGTGATTGTGATAATTGTGATTGTGATGATTGTTGTGGTGATTGTGATGATTGTGGTCGTGAATGTGATGATTGTGGTGGTGATCGTGATGGTGATTGTGATGGTTGTTGTTGTGGTTGTTGTAGTGGTGGTTGTTTTAGTGGTGGTGGTTATTGTTTTGGTTGTGGTGGTGGTTGTTGTGGTGGTGGCTGTTGTGGTTGTTGTAGTGGTTGTTGTGGTGGTTGTTGTAGTGGTTGTTTTAGTTGTTGTAGTGGTTGTTGTGGTGGTTGTTGTAGTGGTTGTTGTAGTGGTTGTAGTGGTTGTTGTAGTGGTTGTTGTAGTTGTTGTAGTGGTTGTTGTAGTGGTTGTAGTGGTTGTTCTAGTGGTTGTAGTGGTGGTTGTAGTTGTTGTAGTGGTTGTGGTTGTTGTAGTGGTGGTTGTTGTTGTTGTGGTTGTTGTAGTGGTTGTGATTGTTGTAGTGGTTGTTGTTGTAGTGGTTGTTGTAGTGGTTGTGATTGTTGTAGTGGTTGTGATTGTTGTAGTGGTTGTAGTGGTTGTTGTAGTGGTTGTGATTGTTGTTGTGGTTGTTGTTGTGATTGTTGTAGTGGTTGTAGTGGTTGTTGTAGTGGTTGTGATTGTTGTTGTGGTTGTTGTTGTGGTTGTTGTAGGGGTTGTTGTGATTGTTGTTGTGATTGTTGTTGTGGTTGTTGTAGGGGTTCTTGTGATTGTTGTTGTGATTGTTGTTGTGGTTGTTGTAGGGGTTGTTGTGATTGTTGTTGTGGTTGTTGTAGGGGTTCTTGTGATTGTTGTTGTGATTGTTGTGGTTGTTGTAGGGGTTCTTGTGATTGTTGTTGTGGTTGTTGTTGTGGTTGTTGTAGGGGTTCTTGTGATTGTTGTTGTGATTGTTGTTGTGGTTGTTGTAGGGGTTGTTGTGATTGTTGTTGTGATTGTTGTTGTGGTTGTTGTAGGGGTTCTTGTGATTGTTGTTGTGGTTGTTGTAGGGGTTGTTGTGATTGTTATTGTGATTGTTGTTGTGGTTGTTGTAGGGGTTGTTGTGATTGTTGTTGTGATTGTTGTTGTGGTTGTTGTAGGGGTTGTTGTGATTGTTGTTGTGATTGTTGTGGTTGTTGTAGGGGTTGTTGTGATTGTTGTTGTGATTGTTGTTGTGGTTGTTGTTGTGGTGGTTGTTGTGGTTGTTGTAGGGTTTGTTGTGATTGTTGTTGTGATTGTTGTTGTGATTGTTGTTGTGGTTGTTGTAGGGTTTGTTGTGATTGTTGTTGTGATTGTTGTTGTGATTGTTGTGATTGTTGTTGTGATTGTTCTTGTGATTGTTGTTGTTGTTGGTAGTGCTGCAGACAGCTGCAGCTGGAGACGCTGAAGGATCTCTACGAACAAGATGATGAACACGAAGAGCTGGGACGAGTTTATGTCGTAGATGGACACAGACACACAGTAAGACACTCACTTAGACACACACTCACATAGACACACACATAGACACACATATAGACACACACTCACACAAATAGACACACACATATAGACACACACATAGACATACACACACACATAGACACACAGACACACACACAGACACACTCACACACATAGACACACACACACAGACACACTCACACACATAGACACACACAGACATAGACACACACACATAGACACACACAGACATAGACACACACACACACATAGACACACACACAGACACACACACAGACACACACACAGACACACACACACATAGACACACTCACACACATAGACAGACACACACAGACACACTCACACACATAGACACACACAGACATAGACACACTCACACACATAGACACACACACATAGACACACACACATAGACACACACATAGACACACACACACATAGACACACACACATAGACACACACACATAGACACACTCACACACATAGACACACACACATAGACACACACACATAGACACACACACATAGACACACACAGACATAGACACACTCACACACAGACACACACACATAGACACACACACATAGACACACACATAGACACACACAGACATAGACACACTCACACACATAGACACACACACATAGACACACACACATAGACACACACACATAGACACACACACATAGACACACACACATAGACACACACACACACACAGACACACTCACACACATAGACACACACACATAGACACACTCACACACATAGACACACACACATAGACACACACAGACATAGACACACACAGACATAGACACACTCACACACATAGACACACACACAGACACACTCACACACATAGACACACACAGACATAGACACACACACACAGACACACTCACACACATAGACACACACAGACATAGACACACTCACACACATAGACACACACACACACTCACACACATAGACACACACAGACATTGACACACTCACACACATAGACACACACACATAGACACACACACATAGACACACTCACACACATAGACACACACACAGACACACACAGACATAGACACACTCACACACATAGACACACACACACAGACACACTCACACACATAGACACACACAGACATAGACACACTCACACACATAGACACACACACAGACACACTCACACACATAGACACACACACAGACACACTCACACACATAGACACACACAGACATAGACACACTCACACACATAGACACACACACATAGACACACACACATTGACACACTCACACACATAGACACACACACATAGACACACACACATAGACACACACAGACATAGACACACTCACACACATAGACACACACACAGAAACACTCACACACATAGACACACACAGACACACTCACACACATAGACACACACAGACATTGACACACTCACACACATAGACACACACACATAGACACACACATAGACACACTCACACACATAGACACACACACACAGACATAGACACACTCACACACATAGACACACACACACAGACACACTCACACACATAGACACACACAGACATAGACACACTCACACACATACACACACACACAGACACACTCACACACATAGACACACACAGACATAGACACACTCACACACATAGACACACACACACAGAAACACTCACACACATAGACACACACAGACACACTCACACACATAGACACACACAGACACACTCACACACATAGACACACACAGACATAGACACACTCACACACATAGACACACACACATAGACACACACACATAGACACACTCACACACATAGACACACACACATAGACACGCACAGACATAGACACACTCACACACATAGACACACACACACAGACACACTCACACACATAGACACACTCACACACATAGACACACACACACAGACACACTCACACACATAGACACACTTACACACATAGACACACACACACAGACACACTCACACACATAGACACACACACACACAGACACACTCACACACATAGACACACACAGACATAGACACACTCACACACATAGACACACACACACACACAGAAACACTCACACACATAGACACACACAGACACACTCACACACATAGACACACACAGACATAGACACACTCACACACATAGACACACACACATAGACACACACACATAGACACACTCACACACATAGACACACACACATAGACACACACAGACATAGACACACTCACACACATAGACACACACACAGACACACTCACACACATAGACACACACAGACATAGACACACTCACACACATAGACACACACACACAGAAACACTCACACACATAGACACACACAGACACACTCACACACATAGACACACACAGACATAGACACACTCACACACATAGACACACACACATAGACACACACACATAGACACACTCACACACATAGACACACACACATAGACACACACAGACATAGACACACTCACACACATAGACACACACACACAGACACACTCACACACATAGACACACACAGACATAGACATACACACACATAGACACACACACACACAGAAACACTCACACACATAGACACACACAGACACACTCACACACATAGACACACACAGACATAGACACACTCACACACATAGACACACACACATAGACACACACACATAGACACACTCACACACATAGACACACACACATAGACACACACAGACATAGACACACTCACACACATAGACACACACACAGACACACTCACACACACAGACACACACAGACATAGACACACTCACACACATAGACACACACACAGACACACTCACACACATAGACACACACACAGACACACTCACACACATAGACACACACAGACATAGACACACTCACACACATAGACACACACACCCACAGAAACACTCACACACATAGACACACACAGACACACTCACACACATAGACACACACAGACATAGACACACTCACACACATAGACACACACACATAGACACACACACATAGACACACACACATAGACACACACACATAGACACACTCACACACATAGACACACACACATAGACACACACAGACATAGACACACTCACACACATAGACACACACACAGACACACTCACACACATAGACACACACAGACATAGACACACTCACACACATAGACACACACACAGAAACATTCACACACATAGACACACACACACAGACACACTCACACACATAGACACACACAGACATAGACACACTCACACACATAGACACACACACACATAGACACACTCACACACATAGACACACACAGACACACTCACACACATAGACACACACAGACATAGACACACTCACACACATAGACACACACACATAGACACACTCACACACATAGACACACACACATAGACACACACAGACATAGACACGCTCACACACATAGACACACACACAGACACACTCACACACATAGACACACACAGACATAGACACACTCACACACATAGACACACACAGACATAGACACACTCACACACATAGACACACACAGACATAGACACACTCACACACATAGACACACACACATAGACACACACACATAGACACACTCACACACATAGACACACACACATAGACACACACAGACATAGACACACTCACACACATAGACACACACAGACATAGACACACTCACACACATAGACACACACACATAGACACACTCACACACATAGACACACACAGACACACTCACACACATAGACACACACAGACATAGACACACTCACACACATAGACACACACACATAGACACACTCACACACATAGACACACACACATAGACACACACAGACATAGACACACTCACACACATAGACACACACACAGACACACTCACACACATAGACACACACAGACATAGACACACTCACACACATAGACACACACAGACATAGACACACTCACACACATAGACACACACACATAGACACACACACATAGACACACTCACACACATAGACACACACAGACATAGACACACTCACACACATAGACACACACACATAGACACACACACACACATAGACACACACAGACATAGACACACTCACACACATAGACACACACACACACAGAAACACTCACACACATAGACACACACACATAGACACACACACATAGACACACTCACACACATAGACACACACAGACATAGACACACTCACACACATAGACACACACACATAGACACACACACACACATAGACACACACAGACATAGACACACTCACACACATAGACACACACACATAGACACACACACACACATAGACACACACAGACATAGACACACTCACACACATAGACACACACACAGAAACATTCACACACATAGACACACACACACAGACACACTCACACACATAGACACACACAGACATAGACACACTCACACACATAGACACACACACACATAGACACACTCACACACATAGACACACACAGACACACTCACACACATAGACACACACAGACATAGACACACTCACACACATAGACACACACACATAGACACACTCACACACATAGACACACACACATAGACACACACAGACATAGACACACTCACACACATAGACACACACACAGACACACTCACACACATAGACACACACACAGACACACTCACACACATAGACACACACAGACATAGACACACTCACACACATAGACACACACAGACATAGACACACTCACACACATAGACACACACACATAGACACACACACATAGACACACTCACACACATAGACACACACACATAGACACACACAGACATAGACACACTCACACACATAGACACACACAGACATAGACACACTCACACACATAGACACACACACATAGACACACTCACACACATAGACACACACAGACACACTCACACACATAGACACACACAGACATAGACACACTCACACACATAGACACACACACATAGACACACTCACACACATAGACACACACACATAGACACACACAGACATAGACACACTCACACACATAGACACACACACAGACACACTCACACACATAGACACACACAGACATAGACACACTCACACACATAGACACACACAGACATAGACACACTCACACACATAGACACACACACATAGACACACACACATAGACACACTCACACACATAGACACACACAGACATAGACACACTCACACACATAGACACACACACATAGACACACACACACACATAGACACACACAGACATAGACACACTCACACACATAGACACACACACACACAGAAACACTCACACACATAGACACACACACATAGACACACACACATAGACACACTCACACACATAGACACACACAGACATAGACACACTCACACACATAGACACACACACATAGACACACACACACACATAGACACACACAGACATAGACACACTCACACACATAGACACACACACACACAGAAACACTCACACACATAGACACACACACACACAGAAACACTCACACACATAGACACACACACATAGACACACTCACATAGACCTTTCCCCCCCACGTGACCCCCCCCTCCACCTGACCCCGCCCCCCCACGTGACCCCTCCCCCCCACGTGACCCCTCACCCCTACCTGACCCCTCCCCCCCCCCCCACCTGACCCCTCCCCCCCACCTGACCCCTCTCCGCCCACGTGACCCCTCACCCCTACCTGACCCCTCCCCCCCCCACCTGACCCGCCCCCTCGTGTGACCCCTCCCCCCCCGCCTGACCCCTCCCCCCCACCTGACCCCCTCTCCCCCCCCACGTGACCCCCCCCCCCCCGACCTGACCCCCCCCCCACGTGACCCAGAGGATGGACCAGCGCATCTCCTCCCTGAACGAGGCCGTCATGGAGTTCACCAGGGCCAAGAACGACTTCGCCACCAGGGTCAGTATCACTACTACACTACTACCACTACTACCACTACTACACTACTATCACTACTACTACTATCACTACTACCACTACGTCATGGAGTTCACCAGGGCCAAGAACGACTTCGCCACCAGGGTCAGTACCACCACTACTACCACCACTACTACCACTACTACTATCACTACTACTACTATCACTACTATTACTACTATCACTACTATTACTACACTACTGTCACTACTACTATTACACTACTACTACTACTACTACACTACTACTATTACTACTACACTACTACTACTACACTACTACTACTACTACGTCATGGAGTTCACCAGGGCCAAGAACGACTTCGCCACCAGGGTCAGTACCACCACTACTACTACACTATTAGTACTACTATCACTACTACTACCACTACTACTATTACTACACTATTACTACTACACTACTACTACTACACTACTACCACTACTACACTACTACTATACTGCTAGTACACTACTACTACACTACTACTACACTACTACACTATCACTACTACTACTATACTACGACCACTACGTCATGGAGTTCACCAGGGCCAAGAACGACTTCGCCACCAGGGTCAGTATCACCACTACTACCACTACTACTACCACTACTACTATCACTACTACTATTATTACACTACTACTATCACTACTACTATTACTACACTACTGTCACTACTACTACTACACTACCACTACGTCATGGAGTTCACCAGGGCCAAGAACGACTTCGCCACCAGGGTCAGTATCACCACTACTACCACTATTAGTACTACTACTATTACTACTATCACTATTACACTACTATCACTACTATCACTACCACTACTACACTACTACACTATTACTACTATACTACTACTACTATACTACTACACTACTACTACTACACTATTACTACTATACTACTACTACTACACTACTACTATACTACTACCCTACTACTACCACTTTTACACTACTATTACTACACTACTATCACTACTACTATTACTATTACACTACTACTACCACTATTACACTACTACTGTTACTACTACACTACTACACTACTATTACTACTGTTACTACTACTACACTACTACTACTAGTACACTACTACTACTACACTACTACTACTAGTACACTACTACTACACTACTACTACTAGTACACTACTACTACTACACTACTACTACTAGTACACTACTACTACTACACTACTACTACTAGTACACTACTACTAGTACACTATTACTACTACACTACTACTACTAGTACACTACTACTACTACACTACTACTACTAGTACACTACTACTACTACACTACTACTACTAGTACACTACTACTACTACACTACTACTACTAGTACACTACTACTACACTACTACTACTACACTACTACTACTACACTACTACCACCACTACCGCCACCGCCACCACCCCCACCACCACCCCCACCACCACCATCACCACCACCACCACCATCACCACCATCACCACCACCATCACCACCACCACCACCATCACCACCACCATCACCACCACCACCACCATCACCACCATCACCACCACCACCACCACCACCCCCACCACCACCATCACCACCACCACCACCACCACCCCCACCACCGCCACCACCCCCACCACCACTACCACCAACACCACCACCACCACCACCACCCCCGCCACCACCATCACCACCACCACCACCATCACCACCATCACCACCACCATCACCACCACCATCACCACCACCACCACCACCCTCACCACCCCCTCCACCACCACCACCATCACCACCACCACCACCACCATCACCACCACCACCACCACCCTCACCACCACCACCCCCCCCACCACCCCCCCCCACCACCACCACCACCACCCTCACCACCACCACCACCACCCTCACCACCACCACCACCACCACTCACCACCACCACCTCCACCACCGCCACCACCACCACCACCACCCTCACCACCACCACCACTCACCACCACCACCACCGCCACCACCACCACCACCACCCTCACCACCACCACCACCACCATCACCACCCTCACCACCACCACCCTCACCACCACCACCACCACCACCCTCACCACCACCACCATCACCACCACCACCACCACCACCGCTGTCTCTACCACTGCCACCACAGATGACTGAAGACCAAATCCGCCTGCTACGAGTTCAGGTCAAGCTGCAGGAACAGCTCAGCGGTGGTGGTGCCGGTGGTGGTGGTGGTGGTGGCGGTGGTGGTGGTGGCACCACCGGCACCACCACCGGCACCACCACCGGCACCGGCGCCGCGGTGAGCCTGGTGGGGCTGTCGGCACACGACACGGTGCATCAGCTGCTGCTGCTTCACCACCGTGGACACGGACGCCTCGCCGACACCACGGCCAAGGAGCTGAGGCTGCCGGAACGACGGTGACACGTCACTGACACGTCACTGACACGTCACTGACACGTCACTGTGACACGTCACTGTGGTGACACGTCACTGACACGTCCCTGTGGTGACACGTCACTGTGACACGCCCCTGTGGTGACACGTCACTGACACGTCAGTGACACGTCACTGTGACACGTCACTAACACGTCACTGTGACACGTCACTGTGACACGTCACTGTGACACGTCACTGTGACACGTCACTGACACGTCACTGTGACACGTCACTGTGACACGTCACTGTGACACGTCACTGTGGTGACACGTCCCTGTGGTGACACGTCACTGTGGTGACACGTCACTGTGGTGACACGTCACTGTGGTGACACGTCACTGTCGTGACACGCCCCTGTGGTGACACGTCACTGTGGTGACACGTCACTGTGACACGTCACTGTGGTGACACGTCACTGTGGTGACACGTCACTGTGGTGACACGTCACTGTGACACGTCACTGTGGTGACACGTCACTGACACGTCACTGTGACACACCCCTGTGGTGACACATCACTGTGACACGTCACTGTGACACGTCACTGACACGTCACTGTGGTGACACGTCACTGTGGTGACACGTCACTAACACGTCACTGTGACACGTCACTGTGGTGACACGTCACTGTGGTGACACGTCACTGTGGTGACACGTCACTGTGGTGACACGTCACTGTGACACGTCACTGTGACACGCCACTGTGACACGCCCCTGTGGTGACACGTCACTGTGACACGTCACTGTGACACGCCACTGTGACACGCCCCTGTGGTGACACGTCACTGACACGTCACTGTGACACGTCACTGTGACACGTCACTGTGGTGACACGTCACTGTGGTGACACGTCACTGTGGTGACACGTCACTGTGGTGACACGCCCCTGTGGTGACACGTCACTGACACGTCACTGTGACACGTCACTGTGACACGTCACTGTGGTGACACGTCACTGTGGTGACACGTCACTGTGGTGACACGTCACTGTGACACGTCACTGTGACACGCCACTGTGACACGCCCCTGTGGTGACACGTCACTGACACGTCACTGTGACACGTCACTGTGACACGTCACTGTGGTGACACGTCACTGTGGTGACACGTCACTGTGACACGCCCCTGTGGTGACACGTCACTGTGGTGACACGCCCCTGTGGTGACACGTCTGTGGTGACACGTCACTGACACGTCACTGTGACACGTCACTGTGACACGTCACTGTGGTGACACGTCACTGTGACACGTCACTGTGGTGACACGTCACTGACACGTCACTGTGACACGTCACTGTGGTGACACGTCACTGTGACACGTCACTGACACGTCACTGTGGTGACACGTCACTGTGGTGACACGTCACTGTGGTGACACGTCACTGTGGTGACACGTCACTGTGGTGACACGTCACTGTGACACGTCACTGTGGTGACACGTCACTGACACGTCACTGTGGTGACACGTCACTAACACGTCACTGTGACACGTCACTGACACGTCACTGTGGTGACACGTCACTAACACGTCACTGTGACACGTCACTGTGGTGACACGTCACTGTGGTGACACGTCACTGTGGTGACACGTCACTGTGGTGACACGTCACTGTGACACGTCACTGTGGTGACACGTCACTGTGGTGACACGTCACTGTGGTGACACGTCACTGTGGTGACACGTCACTGTGACACGTCACTGTGACACGCCCCTGTGGTGACACGTCACTGTGGTGACACGTCACTGTGGTGACACGTCACTGTGGTGACACGTCACTGTGACACGTCACTGTGACACGCCCCTGTGGTGACACGTCACTGTGGTGACACGTCACTGTGGTGACACGTCACTGTGGTGACACGTCACTGTGGTGACACGTCACTGTGGTGACACGTCACTGACACGTCACTGTGGTGACACGTCACTGTGGTGACACGTCACTGACACGTCACTGTGGTGACACGTCACTGTGACACGTCACTGTGACACGTCACTGTGGTGACACGTCACTGTGGTGACACGTCTGTGGTGACACGTCACTGACACGTCACTGTGGTGACACGTCACTGTGGTGACACGTCTGTGGTGACACGTCACTGACACGTCACTGTGGTGACACGTCACTGACACGTCACTGTGGTGACACGTCACTGACACGTCACTGTGGTGACACGCCCCTGTGGTGACACGCCCCTGTGGTGACACGTCACTGTGGTGACACGTCACTGTGGTGACACGTCACTGTGACACGTCACTGTGGTGACACGTCACTGTGGTGACACGTCACTGTGGTGACACGTCACTGTGACACGTCACTGTGACACGTCACTGTGGTGACACGTCACTGTGGTGACACGTCACTGTGGTGACACGTCCCTGTGGTGACACGTCACTGTGGTGACACGTCACTGTGACACGTCACTGTGACACGTCCCTGTGGTGACACGTCACTGTGACACGTCCCTGTGGTGACACGTCACTGTGGTGACACGTCACTGTGGTGACACGCCACTGTGACACGTCACTGTGACACGTCCCTGTGGTGACACGTCCCTGTGGTGACACGTCACTGTGGTGACACGTCACTGTGGTGACACGCCACTGTGACACGTCACTGTGACACGTCCCTGTGGTGACACGTCCCTGTGGTGACACGCCCCTGTGGTGACACGTCACTGTGGTGACACGTCACTGTGGTGACACGTCACTGACACGTCACTGTGGTGACACGTCTGTGGTGACACGTCACTGTGGTGACACGTCACTGTGGTGACACGTCTGTGGTGACACGTCACTGACACGTCACTGTGGTGACACGTCACTGACACGTCACTGTGGTGACACGTCACTGACACGTCACTGTGGTGACACGCCCCTGTGGTGACACGCCCCTGTGGTGACACGTCACTGTGGTGACACGTCACTGTGGTGACACGTCACTGTGACACGCCACTAACACGTCACGGTGACACGCCACTAACACGTCACTGTGACACGTCACTGTGGTGACACGTCACTGTGGTGACACGACTGTGGTGACACGTCACTGTGGTGACACGTCACTGTGGTGACACGCCCCTGTGGTGACACGCCCCTGTGGTGACACGCCCCTGTGGTGACACGTCACTGTGACACGTCACTGTGACACGCCCCTGTGGTGACACGTCACTGTGACACGTCACTGTGACACGCCCCTGTGGTGACACGCCACTGTGGTGACACGTCACTGTGGTGACACGTCACTGTGGTGACACGTCACTGTGACACGTCACTGTGGTGACACGTCACTGTGGTGACACGTCACTGTGACACGTCACTGTGACACGTCACTGTGACACGCCCCTGTGGTGACACGTCACTGTGGTGACACGCCACTGTGGTGACACGTCACGGTGACACGTCACTGTGACACGTCACTGACACGTCACTGTGGTGACACGTCACTGTGGTGACACGTCACTGTGACACGTCACTGTGGTGACACGTCACTGTGACACGTCACTGTGGTGACACGTCACTGTGGTGACACGTCACTGTGGTGACACGACTGTGGTGACACGTCACTGTGGTGACACGTCACTGTGGTGACACGCCCCTGTGGTGACACGCCCCTGTGGTGACACGCCCCTGTGGTGACACGTCACTGTGACACGTCACTGTGACACGCCCCTGTGGTGACACGTCACTGTGACACGTCACTGTGACACGCCCCTGTGGTGACACGCCACTGTGGTGACACGTCACTGTGGTGACACGTCACTGTGGTGACACGTCACTGTGGTGACACGTCACTGTGACACGCCCCTGTGGTGACACGTCACTGTGACACGCCCCTGTGGTGACACGTCACTGTGACACGTCACTGTGGTGACACGTCACTGTGGTGACACGACTGTGGTGACATGTCACTGTGGTGACACGTCACTGTGGTGACACGTCACTGTGACACGTCACTGTGGTGACACGTCACTGTGGTGACACGTCACTGTGGTGACACGTCACTGTGACACGTCACTGTGACACGTCACTGTGGTGACACGTCCCTGTGGTGACACGTCACTGTGGTGACACGTCACTGTGGTGACACGTCACTGTGACACGTCACTGTGACACGTCACTGTGACACGTCCCTGTGGTGACACGTCACTGTGACACGTCCCTGTGGTGACACGTCACTGTGGTGACACGTCACTGTGGTGACACGCCACTGTGACACGTCACTGTGACACGTCCCTGTGGTGACACGTCCCTGTGGTGACACGTCACTGTGGTGACACGTCACTGTGACACGCCCCTGTGGTGACACGTCACTGACACGTCACTGTGGTGACACGTCACTGTGGTGACACGTCTGTGGTGACACGTCACTGTGACACGCCCCTGTGGTGACACGTCACTGTGGTGACACGTCACTGTGACACGTCACTGTGGTGACACGTCACTGTGACACGTCACTGTGGTGACACGTCACTGTGACACGTCACTGTGACACGCCCCTGTGGTGACACGTCACTGTGGTGACACGTCACTGTGGTGACACGTCACTGTGACACGTCACTGTGGTGACACGTCACTGTGGTGACACGTCACTGTGGTGACACGTCACTGTGGTGACACGTCACTGTGACACGTCACTGTGGTGACACGTCACTGTGGTGACACGTCACTGTGGTGACACGTCACTGTGACACGTCACTGTGGTGACACGTCACTGTGGTGACACGTCACTGTGACACGTCACTGTGGTGACACGTCACTGTGGTGACACGTCACTAACACGTCACTGTGGTGACACGTCCCTGTGGTGACACGTCACTGTGACACGCCCCTGTGGTGACACGTCACTGTGACACGTCACTGTGGTGACACGTCACTGTGACACGTCACTGTAGTGACACGTCACTGTAGTGACACGTCACTGTGGTGACACGTCACTGTGGTGACACGTCACTGTGACACGACTGTGTTGACACGTCTGTGTTGA